AGGACTTCCTTTTACTGTCACTCACTCAGTTTTTTTTCCTTACTTTTATCTCTTTCACACACATTTCTTCAGCAGCAGTGGGGCGTGTGTGTGTGTGTGTGTGTGTGTGTGTGTGTGTGTGTGTGTGTGTGTGTGTGTGTGTGAGTGTGTGTGAGTGAGAGAGCTCTGCTCTGCTCTGTATTTCATTCTCCCTCGCTTACATCCAAGGAGGAAAGAATATGAGATCTAAGGAGAGAAAGGAGGACTGGCTTTCTCTCGATACTGCAGCATTTGTTATCGAGTTGACTTCGTAAATTGCTCTGTGACAGTAACATGATCACATCGTGGCATTAGACAGCTGTTGTTATTCCATAAAAAGTTTAATGACATCAGGAGATGCTTAATTAAAGTCCCCACCTGTGGAGGCCCAACAGAGCGGAGTCAGACAGGAAGCAAGAACCTCTGCAGTATTTATTCTCATCATCGTGTGCATGCTGACAAAATAGGTGTGTCAGTTGTGTTAGAGTGTGTATTTTAGCTGCGCTGCTATGTATGCTATCTAGGCTGTGTATGTAAGCATCATCCGGTACACAATAAGCACATTCAGGCAGCTTTTTAAAGAGGAGGCTGAACTTTGACCTGCAGTGATGGAGCTGTGGTGCTTAATTTCTCTCTGTGTCTCATCGTGTGTGTTTTCGGTCTTCTTTTCTCTCTCTCTCTCTGTCTCTCTCTCTCTCTCTCTCTCTCACTGCTTTTCACCATTTCAGTTTATTGAGCCTTAACCGCACAATAGTTCACAAACAGTATTGCAAGGCCCGGTTTATGTTTGAACGTGTGTCGGCAACAAAACTGGAGAAACTGATGGAATAATTAAAAATAAATAAAGATGTTGAAAATAATCCCAATAGTTTATACCATAATATTCAGTTAGGTGTTGTGTCGAGCAGTTTCCCACCTTCACACTTGATTTGCGATACGTTGTTCACAGACGCTCGTTATGAATGTGGGCTATGAGTCCATTTCTGGCTGATATGTGCACATTGTAATCTAACGTATTATGGTTAGTTTGCTTGGTGGTTCATGGAAAGTCCTATAAATGAATCAGTGTTCGATACACACTGCGTAGTTATCTGGAAGAGGTGCTGAACATTGCTCGTCCATGACTTTCGTGTGCGTCGTATGTAGCTGAAGGCTGGTGCAGACAGAGTTGTGTTCAACTAACCGGCCTATTGTTGGCCAGTTTGTTGCTGGTCTCGTTGTACCCAGTCAGTGAACCCAGAGCCTGCAGTGCAACCCAAGAACTTTGCAATGCTGCACTTTCGTCAGTCTTTGGAAGCCAAGACTTATGACGCATTTTAAACCAGAAAAACAAACAAACAGCTTGTTTGTTGTAGTGTATCTTTTGCAGATTAGCCAAGTAAAAGTCAGTTTCAGTGGAATTCCCTCCTGAGGACAGTTGCCTTCTGGTGCATTTGGTCTATTCCTTTCACTCATGGGTTTTCATCTACTTACAAAGATACAAATAAAAAACAGTGGGACTATAAGGAAGGACATGTTTATAGAGACAAACAAGCCCACAAGGAAGCAAAAAAAAAACCAAATAATGTGTGAAAACAGAAGCTGATGTGACATGAAATGTGACAGCGAGGCATATGCAAAGCTGCAACACAAAGGACCGTAGTGAAAAACATTGCATAATGAGCTCTAAATACCGAGAGAGTCGAGTTTCTTGTGTTCCTCTCTGTCTAGTAGCGGTGTGGATTAGCCAGACAAGCTAGGTCAGGGTGTAATCCTGCAAGAGATATTGCTCTGTTCCCCATTACACACACACACGCACACACATGCACACACACGCACACATGCACAGACGCCTCACCTATGGCTTTGTGGACAGCTGTGCTTGCTGTGTCTGAGTGCGTGTGTAATGTGTGTGTAATGTGTGTGTAATGTGTGTGTAATGTGTGTGTGTGTGTGTGTGTGTGTGTGTGTGTGTGTGAGAGAGAGAGAGAGTGAGTGAGTGAGAGAGAGTGGGTGGGTGCGCGCATGTGTGTCCAACCCTGCCTGTTACAATGGGATAGCAGGCAGGGAACCAATAGAAAAGCAGACTGACAGGGGCAGGGCATGGTTTGATAAGTGCACATGGAGATGTACATATACACACACACACACACACACAGCCACTCATACACACACACAGGCTGCCACTATTATTGAGTGCATTGTGAGACAGGCAGGGAACTGAATCCTGGGCTGCTGAGTAGGAGGAAAAACGTGTGTGTGTTTTTACAAACCTATGTGGGTGTTTTTACAAACCTGTGTGTGTGTGTGTGTGTGTTTACAAAGTGTGTGCACACATTCGGTCCACTCTTTTCCATGTAACAGACGAGGTGAATCCAGGTGAAAGCTCTGTCACTGTATTGATTTCAACCCTGAAATCAAAAGATAGATATTCATTAATGGCACAAGGCAGTTTAGTAGAGGATTTTAATTAGTACATCAGTTACTCACTGCGTGTTGAGTTGAATTCTAGACGAAAACTTGTTTTTCTTGCGTGCCTCGACCGGCGAACGAAGAATCCGAAAACGGAGTAAATCCTTGATGAATTGAAATAAATGGAGGCCAGGTTTATCAACAGCAAAACTGCATCAGAAATCTCTTTGCAAACTCTCACACAACTCGTCCAGTATAATCCGTGTTCATCCAGTCTAATGCTCACTTCTTCCCAAAATCATGCATTTTTGCCTAAATATTACTATTTAAAAAACTTCCAGCATGAGATGGAATTCAATTTAGCCTGCGGTGAGTACTTAATATACAAACTGTGGGTGAAATATTCCTTTAATACATTTACTGAAATATATTGTTCAAAGAGGAAATGAGAAGTAATGAGTTTATTGCTGGTTGTATGTATTTCCATGTTCAGTGTTGTGCGTACTGTTACATAAGCTCCTCCCCTCTTCTACTCACACACAGTTCACACCCTGCATTTTAGTAAACGATGTTGCAAACTATAGTTTCACAGCGCCGTTAGATGTTGCGTATGTTAGCTGTGCTAATTAAGCTGTTAAATCTACACTAATAGTGCAGGCAGTCACTCCAGTAAAATGTTTTTAAGCCACAATGTCAATTGAACCTCAATACTTAATGTAGAGCTACATCTACTCACATTGTGGTTAATTGTCATTTCAATTCACATTCCGGTAACAGTCAGGGAGTACGAAGCAGAGAGTGTGCCGGTCTTGTGTTTATCAGCCGGCTGTGACAGACGACACTCTCTCAAAGACACACATCTTACTGCATGTAGACTCTTCCACAACAGTCTGTCAGACAATTAATATCTGTGGGTGTGGGTGTGGGTGTGGGTGTGGGTGTGGGTGTGTGGGTGTGGGTGTGGGTGTGGGTGTGGGTGGGTGTGTGTGTGTGGGTGTGTGGGTGTTGGTGTTGTTGCTCCTGCTCCTGCTCCTGCAAGTGTGTCTATTGTGGGTTTGTAAGTGTGTGTACGTGACTCTTAATCCTGTGTGTGACTATTTAAATGTGTATGGAAGGTGTTGTACAGGTTTCACATGCTTGCATGCCCGCGTGCGTGTGTGTTTATCAAATTTGTCTCAACTTCGTACAAACAATAAAAAACGTGTGTTTTGAGTATCGCCGTCTGTCCCCCCCCATGGGGCCTCATCATCACATGATCGACCGACCTGATTTTGTGTCGCAAAGGCGATGCCTTGTTTCAGGGTTCAACTTAATGCTCGGCTCCGCCCCCCGTGACCTTGGGACATGTCTGTGTTGCTATGGTAACAGCCTCCAGGGTTACTGTAAATTACATTATTACAGACATTACAGGATTGCATTGAGTCAGTGTGTATTTAGTCGCATATTTTGACTGTTTATCGGTGCTTTAAAGGGATAAACACAAACCATTTGAAGTTAAAACAAAAGTTAGATCACATTTTAACAACAACTCATCAGGCTATGACCCCAAAAACAAATGGAAAAACAATATTTTGTTTCCAGAGAGATGCTGGTTTTATCACCAGCTTTCCATTTCATCATAATAGCTCTCAGTTAACTGGAGGCATTTGGTGAAAGTGAAACATTGTCGTGACGATACAGCGAGCCAAGTCCGTGAAAGAGACCTAATTGCCTCCAAATAACTATGTTTTGATTTTCTTTAAAAGAAAAAAAAAGGATGCATGCCTAAAACCAGTGTCTCATGTGGATAAACAAAGCGTGGTTGCCATGCTGATGGGGCATCAGTGTATAAATAGCATGGGTGTTTGTTCTGAATACTCCAGAGAGAGAGAGAGACAGTGATAGCCAGTGTACAGAACCACAAGCACAGGCCTTTACACATGCTTTGTGATCTCATCAAGGAAGAGCTACTACTAGCATGGACATTATTTTTGAACACTAATCTCTTGTCCATTTTTCTGCTCTGGAACACTCTTGTCAAGTAAGACTGCGATGGCAATCAATATGCATCAAAGGTCAACACGTTGCCTCTATTTACACACATCTGTCATCAACATTGAAGAGGAGTGTGTTGTTACAGTAGCGAAACACACAACGCAACAACGCAAATACCACACACATTCATGTAGCTTTAATGTTTCTGATGTATTTTATAGGATATTTTATGTTTTTTCTTTTTCCTTTTCATGAAAATTGGGTCTTAAAGATTATTAAAGTGTCTTGCTGACTTTTCCCAACTAGAAACAACAAATTCTGGATGCGAGTGGTTAAGCGAGCGAGTTGAAGGTCGTACGTCACATCAAAGTCACAGAGAGTTTACTTTTCTCCGTAAGCTGCTGTTCTGCACAACTGCCATTAAAACTGAAAGCAAATCATTTTGTGAAAAATAACACGTGGCTGAAGGTTAAGCTGATGATTATAATTGCATAGCAGGGGATTTGCTTATTATGCAGTGATAATTGAGCTAGCACAAGCAATAATCACAGCAGGAAACATAAGAGAATAGAGCAAGGAACACTTTAAAAAAACGCTCTCTACGTCTCTCCCTGTAGGGAATGGTGACAACACCTGCAGACAGACAGACAGACAGACAGACAGACAGACAGACAGACAGTGGACCCGACGGCGCAGGCACCCGCAACGCTTCCCTCCCATTGGTGGAGAGATCCAGACTTCGCACCAGGAACTGCAGCCCCTGTTGCTTGTCAGCTCTCAGCTGAGCAGCAGGCTCCGCCTACTCCGCCCCAAGTAGCTCTGCTCTCAGGTAGGATGTAAAGTCTTATCCGTTGTAATGTGTTTGGTTCAGTTCGAACAAACTACGGAGCGTTTGCACGCTCGGTTAGGTTTTGTTTCAGCTTGTGTGAAAGCTGTGGATCAAACTCTGCTTTCACATCACAAACAAACTGCACCAAAGTGGAGCAAAACCAATGAGTTCTATGTCAGCAGGTATGTATTTTTAGCTTGAATTCAAAAGCTAAACTACTATTAAATCCATCTATTAATCCGCATATCCACATGATTGCTGGGAAATTTACCCAAATGTTGTTTGTTGATTGATCGTATTTCAGCAGTTAAGAAGCCGGTGAAACGCAGTGACCACAGAGTAATAATTCAATCATAACATTACACTACAAGCGTCTGTTTCTAACTGTTCCTCATTATTCATTACATACGCGCTCCAGTTACAGACCCAGCAAAGTGTTGCATGACCTGCTGTCACTCACTCGATTAGATTTTCCATGTGTCGCTAATGACGCAGGATGACTAACCAAAACTGTCCAAAGAATAGTTACTTGTCGAGTCTATATATCTTCATGCTTTCACCTCATGGCTCCTTAGTATGAAGACAGTGTGAACACAAATAACCAGAACTGAAAGGCAACGATGTGTCTTTGAAGATGTCCAAATGAGCCACACTACAGCAGCTGACTTAACCGACTCTAGTGTTTCTTCTTCTGACAATAATAACAATAATGTTTCATTATTACATTACTGAAACTGGATGACCCTCTGATTTTTCTGTTCTGTGGTCTAAAGATAATAAACTTGTCTGGGCCTGTCTGAGCTTCCTGCCCCCCCTTCTCCTCTCTTCTTCCATTCATGTGATTTGTCTTTTGATTGTATTCTTTGCTTTCTTGACCCTCAACTCTCCTCTCTGCCTTTATCTTAGTCTCTATCCATTCTCTGTCTGAGCTGTCTCCCTCTGTCCTCTTTTCTGCATCCTCCCCTCTATCTATTGAAGCTCCTCCGTCAGTCCTTTATCCCCGTCTCGCCAGCTGTGTGTTGAGGCTCCATTCTCTCCTATGAGGGAGAGTAGAATGAACAGCGAGGAAGCCAATCCCGGCCTTTCGTCTCATTGAACCCATCTCTTGCTCCTCTCGTGTCCTCTTGTATCCTCCCCTCTCGTGTCCCCTCCTCTCCTCTGTCCTAAGACTCTGCTGTGTCCTCTGCCTCCTGCTGCTCACTGTTCCACGTGTCTCAGATGGAGTGTTACTTTTGATGGAAGTTGTATCTCAGGTGAGGGAAAGAGATTACACATAAGCAAAACCAAAGTACAGACTGAATATATGTTCCTATTTTAATTAAACTACAGATGTTCAGAAGAGTAATTCGTTTTCAAAAAACAATCACCAAACCCAAAGAGAAGTGTCTTCTGAGTCTCATCCCAGTAGCTGTTGACAAAACAGTTTTGTGTTTATTACCCTTCAGCTATATGCGGTCATACTTGACTCCCCGACAGCATCATTAGATTCTGCTATGAGGTACTTCAGTGAGCTCGGGGACTTATCCTACAACTATACAAATATGTTTTGAAGTACGGACTAATTAGATTATTAAATTAACTTTGTACCAATTCAGAGAGGAGTAGCGAGGAGGGGCGTAGAATTAGGAACTTCTTCGAGAAAGTAGAAAGGAAAGGTACGATTTTAGATGAAACAAATGCAAGTACAGTAGATAATTATATGAAAAGCCTGAATATCAAGTAGTCCCATAAGTACATTTTTTTATGTTCTGATTCTTTCTCACTTGCAAACATTCAACCTGTCCCTGCCCTTCTTTCCCTCCCCATCTCCTCTCTGTCTCCTCTCTCCTCCCCGTCTCCTCTCTCCTCTCTGTCTCCTCCTTTCTTCAGCCATCACTCTTGCTGAATGGGAAATTACACATCAACACTCCCTGGTTCTTTCTGCTTCCCCTCTCTTTTGTAAATTCACCGTTGACAGTCGCCTTTCTTTGAGCAGAACGCCTCAGAAGTGAGCAGATGGAGTGCTGACAGTCTCCAAGCTCAAACAATGACGCTGGGCGGCAAGTCGTGGCGATCAACACATGTCAGAAAGTGGCTATTAACGGGGAACCATATACATTCTGTCCGTCATCTATATAGGGGATGGATCCATTTTTGTCCAGCTGGCTGTCGAGGGTGTAGAGTTGGAATCCAATCGCCTAAGAATTGACAATAGTATTAAAGGAGCTGTACAGGTGATAATGACGATACCACCGACGGCGTGGACGCAGAAGCGCAGCACCCACCCTCCAGAGCTCAGCTCAATTTGACTACTTATCTGGCGGAGGGTGGGTGATGAGTTGATGAGGATAGAATCTGCTTCATAGTATGGTGGTCCGGCAGCTGATACTTGCCAGATGGCAGCAGGATGAACAGGCTGTGGCTGGGGTGTGAATTGTCTTATAATATTCTGTAGGATCTTCGCAGGCACCTCTTATTGAAGTTCAAGACAGCGTTTACTTGTAAAACTGGGGGATGGTTTACACTCTTACTAAGACGTTACTATTGTTTTACTACTTTGTTTTTATTGCCAGATTGAGTCAGATGACCTGTCGACTCTACTGTACACGATTAACAGAAATCAGGAACTGAATCAGCCTTATCTGTCTGCTGTTACTACACTGGAAGCGTCACATTGATCTGCTCATTAAGTTTCTCACAGTACTGGTCGACTGCAACTTTAAATTCAGATAATCCCCTTGGCTGTGATATTTTAGACGCCAGGACAAAAAAAGTAAACTTGTTTATGTCTTGCAGGGGAAATCTGACAGCTTTGTATGGATTCAATCAATTTGCAGAGATTGATTTTCATTTTTTCATTTGGGACTGAAACTACTCCCACCCGCTGTCTTCGTTAGACACGATGCAGCCTGCAGCAACAGCTCACAGTAATCTCAAAGATGTCAAATTACCAATTAACCCAGCTATGCTCTCTATAATAAAGCTTCACAGGAGCCTTCAGATGTCCAACAATGCCAAGGAGTATCAGTCCTTGAACAAATGCTCGATATAAAGGTAAACTGAGTTGTTCCTGTTGTTTGACGTCAGACTCTCTCTCTCTCTCTCTCTCTCGCTCTCTCGCTCTCTCGCTCTCTCGCTCTCTCTGTGTGTCTGTGTGCATGGATTTCCCCGTTTTCTTGTAAAAGCTGCTCTCTGCTTTATTTGATCTGGGCCTCTGCTCTCATAGTAGGATTGAATTGGGTTTGGAGAGCAAGGGACACACACACACATACACACACCTGAGACTCTCAACTTGCCACGGCAGCTGCCCCATAACGAAGGAGGGAGAGAGATAGAAGGAGGGAGGGGGAGAAGAGGTGCAGCAGCAAAGTAAGGTACATGAAGATGGGGAAGGTGGTAGGATAAAAAGAAGAGAGAAGAGGGGCAACTTGCATCTTTTAATGAATGTATTCTCTTCTAATGTGGTACTGGCCACAGAGAAGGAGAAGCCACTAATGAAACCAGGACACAGTTTTTCATTGATTCATCCCATTTTCTCGGTATCTTCCCCCCCCCTTCTTCTTGTGTCTGCCTCATTGTCTTCTGTGCTCTGTCACCGGCCCCCTGCAGAGTCCCTCACTCTCGCCATCTTTGCTTGTCATGCCACCCCTCTCCACAAACGCGCTCTCCGACACGCACACACTGTGGCTGTCTCTGCACACTAAGCAATTGGTTAATTACCTTGCCCAGTGTCGCCGAGAGGAGAGGAGGCAGAGAAATGGAGAGCGGTGGAATGAATAAAAAGGTGATGGAAATGAAAGAGTGGACCTGAGACTGCCTATTGTGCGTGTACTGAAAACACTCTTAACAAGAGAGAAGAAAAGAGTGCAATGAAGTACTACTCTTGAACAAAATCTATTTTAATGTTTCAACCAAGGCCATTCTGTTCAGTAAATCAATCGTTCTGAAAAGCAGCTGTCTTCTTCGTCCAGGGAAAGCCTGTGGGGATATCATGTGTTCGTCTGTCTGTCTGTCCGCAGCTAATCTGGAAAACCACCGGACCCATGAGCCTAGCCCGGTTTCTGTGCTCATTTACCTCTCATGGTTGCGGTGATTCAAAATTTTCAAAATGTTCTGCAGCATGTTGAGCATCTCCAGATGAATTCCGTCCCCTGTGATGTCACGATCCACCAAAGTTAGGCGCGATACGAGATGAATAAAACCCCGTTATTTTGTTATCTTTGCCATCTTACATGTTAGGGAGCCGGGAGGGACAATTGAGTGACATTCAACTCTTCTTTGTTCGGGAGGGGAACACAAGGAGACACACCTAGCAGAGATATGCACTCTACTGAGTGCATGTTTCTAGTTTGTGTTAGATTCATCTCACAAATGAACATTAAAATCACCCATGATCCAAGCGACCCCCCCCCCCCCCCCCCCCGTGTGTGGCCCGGAACCCAAAACCTGAGAAACTGTAGCGTAAACCTTTTAGTAAGGCTGTAAAGCTCTGCAGCGCAGCGGCACAATGTGTCTTCTGTCTTTCTCCACCTCCTGACAAAGCAGTGATGTCATTGAATTTCAGAGGAATGAATCCTCCTTCTGTTCTGAGAACCGCACAATACAAATCTATTTAAGTATAATAAGTCTTTTACAGTCAACCTCTGCAGCAGCTCCTTTGTGTTCCATACAGTCGCGCCTGTTTACAAAGGAGGCACGTTAAAGTCAATCCTAGTAATCATACAGGGCGTATTTAATAAATCGCCGTGTGTACTTTGCGTCCATCTGCGAGGGATTCTGTGCATGCCTGTCAGCATGTTTGTTCTGTTAATACAGCATATACCTTCTCCTGCGCATGTGTGTGTACTGTACA